TCTAACTAATATGTCCAGTATCTTAAGTGGAACAGGAGTTAATGCTGCAAAAACTTTTAAAGACTTATATGATCTTTGGTTTGATAAAAAAGGAAATAAAAAACAGCATTTAAATCATTTTATTAGGAAAAAAAGTGGGGAAAAAAGTTTTACGATGCATAACTTATCCAGTATATTAAGCGCGGCAGGGGCTAATGCTAAAGATGCTTTTGAAAAATTGCATAGTGTTTGTTTTAACGACAAAGGAAGAAGTACAAGACTTTTAGATGATTTCTATAATGCAGATTTTGAGCCAAGTAACTTATCTAGTATATTATGTGGAGCAGGAGTTCGTGCTTCCTCTATTTTAAAAAGATTGCATAGTGTTTGTTTTGATGACAAAGGAGAAAGAACAGAACTTTTAGATGATTTCTGTAATGTAGGTTTCAGGCCAGGTGATTTATGCAGTATATTGAGTGGAGTAGCAGATCGTTTAGAAAAATTTCATGATTTTTGTTTTATAGGAGAAACAAAAAAGTATTTAAATCATTTTGTAAATGAGAAGAAAGGTTTTACGCTAAGTAATTTATCTAAGATATTGCACGGAGCGAAAGCTAATATTTGTTCTGCTTTAAAAGATTTTCATGATGTTTGCTTTGATGAAACAGGAAACAAAACACAGTTTTTAGATGATTTCCATAAGGTAGGTTTTAAGCCGAAAAATTTATCCAATATATTATCCATGGCAGGAAATAATGCATCTTCTATTTTTAGAAATTTTCATAAATCTTGTTTTAATAAAGAAAATTATTTAAATCACTTCTTAGCCGAGAAAAAACTCTTTACGCCGAAAAATTTATCTGGAATATTAGATAGAGTAGGACTTAATATTTGCCCTACCTTTGAAAAATTGCATGATCTTTGTTTTGATAAGGCAGGAAACAAAACAAGTTATTTAAACGATCTTATCAGAAATAACCCACCATATGAAATATATAATATATTATATAAAAAAGTCAGAAAAGCTCCTTCTGCTTTCTTAGATGAACAGAATATTAGTGAAGGAGACAAAATAACCAATGTAGGCCTTGAGTCAAGTAGCTCATCTGGTAGAACGGAGCAAGGACAAAATTTAGGTAATTCACAACAAAATGATCCTAAAGTTAAGAGAAAAACCCGGAAGGGTACCTTAAATCGGGGCGAAAACAGGCAAGAACCTACTGACAGAATAGATGATAACCGTGAAACTTATTATAAATGATCCAACAGTGGACAAGCAGCTACAAGAATCATGTCAGACAATTTCTTCCTGAAGTTGTTTTATTTCAGCTTTAGGAAGGCCGGTTGTTTGGGAGATGATATCCGATGGTTCCGATATTGAAGGTAGAATACTTTGTGAAAAGTATGGCGTAAAATTGCATGTTGTAGAGAGTAGCCCATTGCGTGCTGCTGACAATCAACAAGACCCGTTCTTGCATCAATTAATAGATGATTCAGGTTCAAAAAATGCAGGTGAATACAATAAAGTTAATTATGACGACAGTAGTGTTTTGCATATAATAAACAAAGGCCATGCTCATTTCGAGCCATTGCTTGATAGGAAAAAAAGTTTAGCAAAACAAGAGCAAGAAGACTTCCTATTAGCAAAAAAACTTCAAATAGACGAGATCTCAGAATATTGTAACCTTTCAAAGGATATCTCTGAGAGAGCAGAGGTTGAGAAGAGATTTGATGAGTTGTTGAAAGAAAATCCTGAAGGAAAAATTCATGATGTTATAGGGCAGTGCGTTAGTGATGTAGCACAGCACATAGAGCGCTCTGAGAAGCAAAACCCTTCAAGTTTACTAAGTTCAAGATGTGGTACAGAATCGATGGCAGAACAACCATTTCATCCACAACAAATACTTGTAAAATAAATTTTCATAGCCCTGTATATTTTTATATAGGGCTTTTGCAAGCATTTCATATAATATGAACTTGCAGTACGTACTAATCTAAATGCAAGTTGACCATGAGACTAGTTTAATTATCGATGCCATAGAGGAATTTGGTGGTGAGGCTAGGCTTGTCGGCGGGTGTGTGAGAGACTCAATTTTGCAGCGTGATGTCCATGATATTGATATCGCTACCAATTTGCTTCCTGATCAGGTGATGAAAGCGTTAAAACTCCGTAATATAAAAACTATTCCAACTGGCTTAAAACATGGAACTATAACTGCGATCTTAAATCAGAGGTCTTTTGAGATCACAACACTAAGGCATGATGTGAAATGTGATGGCAGGCATGCGAAAGTAGAATTTACTAATAATTGGCAAGCGGATGCTTCAAGGCAACCATATACGTAATAGATAAAGGCTCAGAATATTCTCATCGGTTTAGATTTTCACGAAAATGTATTCATCTATTTGTACGTAAGGCAAGGTTTGTAAAGTTACAATAATATGTACGCTCAATACTGTAAGAAAAATTTATGATTGGTATAATGAAGTTTTCTAAGATTACAAAGTTATTTAATGAATACTGATATGTTATTAGTTAAGAAATTATTCCATTAAGGAAATATTCTTTCAACTAGTATAAAAGAATGCATTTTTTGTTTAAATAAAAAGCATTTATTAATAATCTAGATATAGAAAAAAGTATCAGATTTAAGAAAGTATAATAGCGTAAGTAAATAGATAATGTAAGTTTTCTTTTTATACTAGCGTGGTCCAATATATTTATTTATGAAAAATACCTCAAAGACTAACGTAACAACTGCAGTCGCAGTTAATCTCTCTTTACAGAGATATTCCTCGTAATATTATTTGTACTAGTTAATTTACATATATATATATATTCTTTTTCATTTTCTGCTTTATATTTGTAAAGTCAGATGTTACTGTTAATAATAAAAAGTAAAAGGAAAATACGAAACAAGATTTTTATAAAATGAAAAAGAAATAAAATAAATATGTATAGTTTTTATCAGTGTTAATTAGTAACTGTTCATAAAGATATACATATCACGTAGTAATAAAGTAATTTCATTAAAAAATTGTAAAGTAATAATACTGTATATAAATATTATATACTTTATATTTAACAGATGTTTATTCTTTCTGACTAGATTAAGAGCACATACATATATCATTAGAATAAATAGTAATCAATATGTACAGTGCGAAAATATTTCGTAAAATAGATACTATTAAACTCTTCTTATAATATTAATATACTTATATAAATATATTTAAAAAGTATAAATTATATGAAATATAGTATGCAACACAGAAATATCAATTTTATCGTCAACAGGCTCATAATTTTCATACAACTTTAATTCTCTGAAATTGCGACCTATTAGCTTTACACGTTGTAAGTTGTAAATTTACAATGTGCAAAACTAATAGGTCGCAATATATCATAATTTCTTCACTACAGAATTAAAGTTGTGCGTGCGTGTAGTACGAGTAACACTACTTTCACACTAGTTTTATAATTTGTAAAACTAATGTTTTCCCGTATAGTAAATTTTTGGGGAATTGAATGAGGTAGTTTTACCATAGTATAAAAGTGGTATAATTAGTAGGTCCACTCCGTCATTTGTTTTGTTTTGCGTCGATCCCTTCTGCGCATCTGACATTGCTCTGGGCAGAGCAATGAGAGAAAAGTTGTGTGTGTAGTGTGGCTTTGATGAGTACGTATACACACACACACATCGCTGGATCCTGCCGGGTTGTATGGCGGAATACCATGTGATCGGGATCGTAAAGACCAAAGGGGCCGGCAGAGAGTGGACCTACTAGTTATACTATGGTTTTACTGCACGTTACTTCTGATATCTGTAAGAACATTGAAATGCGACGAGAGACTTCGTTCTTTGTCACCAAAGTGTAAAGTTCGTTGCACAGATACTCCCATCTTTCGTAAGGTATCGTTGAAGCTGTTTTCTTCCATCTGAATCCACGGCCGGTGTTTGTCCTGCATTTGATAGGGTGTAACATGTATGTGAACATTTACCCCTGAAGAAGACATTTAATCACGTTGAAATAATATATTGAAAGATTACTATCTCAAGACACTTGTCCGCTAGGTCATCTCACCTAATTTGGCAAAGGAACCAAGTATACCTCGATCTGTAATCCATGTATTCTTGGAACCATTGTGTCCGCCATCCAGCCACCACATATTTTTTATAAGTTTGATGAAGTTACTTATTAAGTTATTAGAATTGTCACTCGAGTTATTATCGTAATAATGAAACTCGTAAAGAAACTGATTCAAAACCGCACATCCCTTACTGAAACCCATCAGACTTAAGTTTGTAGTTTCGATACTTTGGCTATCAATATCCTGAAAAATATTGGAACATTAATTTTAATACCTCGGTGTTGCATTATGCTCGATGCTTCATATTTTTAAGAACTCTGTCAAAGTATGAGCTACAAATACATTGGATATTAAAGTTGGAGGTGGTTATTAATGTACAGCGATGGACAGAATGGTTGCGACACTTTTCAAACGTGCCTCGATCCGCGTGCAACTTCAGATGGATAGGCAATGGGTGCTTTCCAGCAACGTACAGAGGCGACAGAGTGAACACAGAGGTAACACATTGTTATATTGTGCTAGTCTGTGTCTCTTGCTGGAAAGCACCCATTAATGACGCCGTGTGTACATTAGTTCGTAAAACTTTTACAAAATATGGTTCACGCGCCAATGCATACCTCTCCTATTTTTAATGTTTTAAGATGTTCCAGGCAACCAAGAACGAGGCCCCTTAAATGTTCTAGAGCTTCGTGCATCGGACAAAATACGGGTGTGCCGTATTTATCTCCTGGCACGAAGTTGTCGAAACAACTGAATACTGCGTTTCTCATTGTTGTCATTCTAAAACAAACACGAGAAACACATGAATTTACTGGCGACAATAATTCCATCTAAACGAAACTGTGTTATGTTCGAAAGTGACCGCGCGCAGGACAGGTGGAACACGGTATATAAATTCACAAATCAGATTAAAATTATTGGGCTACCTACATCTTGCTTGGACCTAAAAATTGTTCTCGGTTCTTACTCGATTTGTATCATAAATGGTCCTGAATTAACTCTATTTGCTTAAACACGAGATTGTTATGCAACGTGATATAAACAGGACAGTTGAAAGAATTATAGAAATCTTTTTGACCCAGTCAGCAAAATGTTAGCAGATTGCCATCAGATTGGCAGTACAGATTCAATCAGAAACCCACACTAAAACCATAGCCATCTGTGTCCGTATTTGGTTTTTGTTTTGGCAACGGTCTATAAAACATACGCTGTTAACAGATTGTCGACAGAAACTGAGCAGGATCTGCGCAATTTAACAGTGAGATTAGCAACAGAAATCGAGCAAGATCCGCGCGGCGCGGTTTGACGCCAGATTGGCAGTAAAAAATGTGGCAGAATCGCCGTTTTCTTCCGTTTTCGTTCCTTTTATTACAAAAATGCGTAAAACTAATAAGTAGTAAAGTTTCCTGTAAGGTTTTTACACACTCGTAGACAAGAGAGTTCACTTGAGTACCAGAAAGATGATCGAAGAATCTCATGTGGATGTGTTAATTTATAATACCGCGTGTAGTTTTCCTCTTACGAGAAAGTGTCACGCCGCGCGTCTATCTAGTGGGATCGTTACAATATAAATCGCTAGCAAATAGAGTTTCCAACAAGTTATGTCAGCAGAATCTGCTCTCGACTTCTGCCGCCAATCTGCTGTCTAAACATGTTATCAAGCCTTGTTATATTTCTGTTGATGTTCTGCCGACATCATGTGACATATCAGTTTGGTAGGCAATTTCTGTAGGCAATTTGCAGTCTTTCTGTCTTCAAAATTTGTAGTGGGTATGCGACGAAATCTGCTCTGACAGATTTGGCTATCTGCGAATCTTTATATCTAATTATTATTTGATAGAAGGACAAAAAGTCACACGTCACTCAGAATAGAAGCATTGAGATATTCCAGTTTTTATACATAACTACGATAATTTACCTGGATGGACGGACGACAAATATGTGACTTCCAGGAAACTGTTTGGAGAGTATAGTCGCCGTGTTCTCCAAACTCCATTTCACATATTTCTTACTGTCCGAATGCTTTTCCATGTTTTCCTGAATGTCCTACAATAATTTTTATCCGACCACTGTGTTAATATATTGCAAGTACAATAAATATAACGTGCTGTTTCAAAACAAGTGCGACGCTAGGCAAGATTGTTAAGTACGAGATAGACAGTTAATCAGTTGGGAAAGTCACTTTATAAAAGTAACTCGTTACTGTTACCGTTACTGAAAAACTAACGAGTCATTACTATTGTCGTTACTTTTTCTTGATATTAGTACAATTAAGGGGGGTACACTATTAAAATGCATTTTTTTATGTTTTAAAAGTGAAGTTTGAAGTATAAAAAATAATATTTTCAATGCCTGATATCAGAATTCTTAATATTTACAGCGCTAGAATTTTTTTGCACAAGTGCCCTGCGTCATTTCAAACTTTAAACGCATTTTTCTCGAAACAGTGTTTCTAGACCTGGTTGACAGCCTCTAGCAGTAAAAAACCAACTAATTTACTTCAAACAAAGTGCAATCTACTTGTAATTAAATTTTCTATCGTCCATTAGGACATTTTTTGATAACTGTATTAACTTTTTTACAGTTAAAAAGTGTAAATTTTTTAGTTTTAGTTCAAATGCAAAACTCGAAAAATGGTAACGACGTTGCAAGTGACGCGTTACTTTCCAACGCGTATACTCCATATAATTTATCTCTGACTAACGTTAAATTTGTCATACGACAAAAATTTAATATTAGCCTAATGCAATACAGTGAACATTTTACAAATATGAAGCAACAGAAGGTATTATAATTTTAAAAGAATTATACAATTGTTTGAAGAAGAAAAGTGAAATGCTTCGAACGTACATACTTGGACATCGCCGCCAAAAAATATAAGAAGATCGCGTGAGATTGGCTGCAATTTCGGCTGCGTGTAAATTACATCGTTGTGTCGGCCTGGAGCGCCCGATATGTTTCTCCATATCCAAGTTCTCGAGCTCATCGGCTGCTGTCTGCAAGAAAGGAAAAAAAAATCAGAAAGGGTCAGAAAGGAATCGATGTCTCGGCGAAGGTAGACCATCGCGCTTGTCAGTGCAATCAGAACGCGCTGCGAAAGCGTTGTATGACTTGTGAGTCGATTGTACGAACGATTGCGCAAAATAGCAATACAAACCGGTGATAACACAGATAACTACGGAGCCGCGAGGTCCGTTTGTTTTGGTTGCGCTTCCCTGCACTTTTGTTACAGCGACTTCGGTTCGGTAAGATCGGTTGCTTGCACTAGTGCGCACCTACGGTAGTAGCACCGAGTGCACACTTGGGGTTTGTTCTTTATAGCTGAACTAGCTGCACTAGTTCAGAGTTTATCTTTCTTCCTCCGCATTAGAAGGAAAAAGATAAACTCTGAACCAGTCACAGGCCGGTATTCATAGTCTATTCTTATTTCAAAATCATCTTAAGCCTCCGCTACAATGATTCTCGGTTCTGGGGAGCGATCGCGTGCACCGATCGAATTCGAATTCGAGAAGGAATATGCCATCCGATACCACTCTTCGTACATGATCAATCTATGGTCTGAGGGAAACTATCCTATAATAAATAAGCATGAACCATGAAACCTGTAGAGTAGAGACGTATGAGAAGTCGACCGATCGAATTCGATCGTGCACGCGATCGCTCCCCTGACTACAATGGTCGTAGTCGTAAGAATAATCGACTGCGATTGGTCAATTCTTAAAGCCTCCGCTACAATAGGCTTGTTTTCTGTTCCTACACTAGTGAACTAGTGCAATAAATTGGAGTAAAGCCTTGTGTCCACGATCCAAGAACTGTGTCCAAGTTCTAGTTCCGAGAAATGCGTAGCCAATCACCTTGCAGCTTTTATGGAATAGCTGCAGGTTGATTGGCTACACATTTCTCGAAACTAGAACTTGAACCAAGTTCTTGGATCGTGGACACAAGGCTTAAGACAAGCATATTTTTTCTCATTCTAGCTTACTGCACTAGTTCACCAGTGCAGGAACAGAAAACAAACCCCATGATTCTCGGTTCTGTCTACAATGGTCGTAGTCGTAAGAATAGTCGACTGCGATTGGTCAATTCTTATGCGTCTGAC